TCCAATCCTGACAATTCTGTGATTCTATGAAGTAATTGAACAACTAAACCAGAACTGCAGTCCAGAGAGCAAGAGATTAAAATGATTGTGATACCCTTCTGTACAAAGAGTTCAAACACTAACAAATGCAGCATCCAAGGTGTCATAAGGCTGAAAAAGGCAACTGTCCCTTTTTATTAGGCAGGGAAAAAGGGTGCAAAAATGATGAAGAGTTTGCCCAGGGTGGCATTTGGTAGATCATGGTGTAGTCTACAGCTTAGAGCCAGTGGAAACCCTGGAGTTGCGCTGTTTATGATCTGCTTTACAAAGGCATCAGATGGTCTTGGTCTTTCAAGAGTGTTTGGGATTTATGAGGCTGGAGGTAGGACCTGTAGATTAAAGGCAGCTGTTCTATGGGCTATGTTCTATCTATTCAGACAAAAGAAATGCCATCCTGCTTCTTAACGTAATAAACTGTAATACCTGCCCTCCTTTAGCCCCAAGGCTTGCTTTTCTCATCCTGGGAATCAGATTTTCTGTTAGGAATACCCTGTCTCCAAAGGTTATCTGAGGTACCCATTCCCGTGATAACTAACTTCCATGAGCACCTTGCAATCAAAACCTCATACCCCCGTTGGGATGGATTGTCTGGATGTACTTCTTAGCATCTTCAACCTGCGCTGGGGTGGCTGAGACCAGGTTATCTCTCCAGCATCGGACATTGTGGTTGAAGTCGATAAGGGAGAACTGATCAGCAGCACGGAGCTCACTCAGTATTGCCTTCATGGCCTCGATGGTCTGAAAAGAAGAAATTTAATAGAAAACAAGTTTATGCTTCCTGTTGCTGAAAGCATCTTCTTTACTTGTGACAATAGGCAAACAGGTGTCTCTGATGAATAAGAACAGGAGCACTGGGATCCTAAATAACATTCGCTATCCAAATGCCTCCTTTTTTGCACTTCTTTCATAAAGCTGAAATTGTCACTGAAGAAAAAATGCAATTAGCAAGCAGAAAGCCATGTGACTCAACCCATCCTTGCTTAACTCCTGCTAACACAGAGTGAGGTGAGAACGAGGAGCAGTTTGTGAGACATCGTGGTTCAGGAGAGAAGAATCGCTCATATCAGCTCGGGAGGCTTAGCTCTGTCTGCAATGCTGTCATTTTAGGGTGGGTAACATCTGTTTGAAGATGTGTGATTTAGACAAGTGACAATTACTCTGTATCCCAGTTTTGCAGCGTTAGTTTCCCCAGGAAGCAATCTGACAAGCCTTAGTATCGTGCTGCGCAGCAAATTCAGGTATACCTAGATCATCCCTGACTAATGTTTGTCTAGACAGTTCTTAAAAACTTCCAGTGACACATGATCTACCATCTCCTGACCTCCCCTCTCCGCACTATCAATTTTTTCCTGGTATCTAATATAAATCTCTCCTGCTGTAAACTCATCTGATTCCATCTTATTCTACCCTGGATGAGGATGAATGTTGGCTGATGAGTTTCTCTTTTAGAACAATTATTTGCATATTTGGAGGCTGATTATATCTCTCCAAGTATTTTCTCTTGCAGAATAAAACTCTTTATTTTTTTTCCTCCTGTGGCTTATGTTGTCTAAACAATTCTTATGCTTTTCAGTGGGCCGTCAACCATTTGTTCACATCTTTTTGAAAGCAGGTGTGTAGGATCCTCACTGACGCTTTCCCAGTATTCAGTAGAGGAGATTAGAACATAAAGGGGGTCAGAGCCTTTGCAAAATGTTTTATTAATCCAAATTTTAATTAGGAGCTAAATTCCATATTCTGATGGCATCACCTCTTCCTGAGGTGCTCCTTCACCAAAGGAGCATTATAAATAAAGAGTAAAATCGTGAAGTCTTTGGTTCACCAAATATTCTCCAAATTTAGTGAGTCCTTCAATGGACTAGATGACATTTTGAGGTCCCTTCCAACCCCTAATATTCTGTGATCCTGTGATTCTGTGACTAAAGTGTAAAGAGCTAGGCTGGTAATTTTGAGTGCCTGTGTACTACATTGGAAAAATTGGGAGGGATCCATTTTGCAGTAGAGGTCAAACACTTACTTGTTTCATTTTCAGTCCCCACATTGAGCCACTGACATCTATAACAAATAAAATGTTTTTGGGCAGAGGATCAAGATTTTCCGGAGCAAAGAAGTGAATAAAATAGCCATTAAATATCTGCAAAATAAATTAAAAAAAAAATCACAGTGAAGCAAGAGATAGTAAAGATGTCAGAAAACCCAAGACAATAACAGAGCGGAAAGTGTTATTCCTCTTCATGGCTCAATTATAAGTTTCAGGTCTGCACGTGTCTGTAGCCTTACACCGTTCGTACTCCATAGTGTTTACTTTTTATCATGGAAAGCAGAGCCTGGTTCTCAGACAACTGCCATGCACTAATATATGGAGAAAATAAAAACATTTTAAAAAAGATTGTTCTATTTGCAATAATTCAACCTCATAACTCCACTTTATGTTAACACAAAAATAGTGATGTTCTGGTTGTCTCTTTGTGATGTATTGGTACAACGTACAATAACTCTGTCCCTCTGACTCAACAATAAATTACTGGAGTCCTACTGGGTGTAAAATACGCTGGATTTTGGACAAGACAGGAATCTGCTCCCAACTATATGTGGGACCACATCGCAGTCATAAATTAAGTAAATCCATTCTGTCCACTTAAAGCCTCTCTGTTCTTTCAACTGGATGCAGAGCTCTTTCTCATGCTTGTTATCCTGAATCATGAAGTTTATTTAGCACAGTTTTCTTAATGAAAGCAATTCTTGCATTCACAGATCTCCTGTCCCAGTTAAACAGCAACACTTACTTCCAGTTCTCCACCTGTGGTTTCTCTGTTCACATCATACTGCACCACAAAACTTCCATCTACTGCTGTGGATGAGCACGTAGGGCATTTTCGTTGCTGAGCCATTGTTGGCTTGAAAGAAATGTGAGCCTTGAAACGAGAAGTGATCATCAGTCAATCAGATGCTTTGTGAAGAGTGGCTCATTGAGTTCATCTGTTTGTGAAATATCTTATTTTTACTGAATGATTTTCTTCTTTCTTTATTTGCCCTCTTAGTTTAAGCGGCAAACGGACTTTGTCACTTCAAAAGAAAAACACCACTAAGGTTTGCCTGGACATGTTGATTCAGTAGTAACAGCTGTGACATAAACAAGATGACCCATCTAGAGTACCAAATACTTTAGGTAGAGTTGTGCAAACCATTTCCAGTAAATAATATGTTGTTTTTTAAACATTTTCCTAGTTGAAAAAATTCATAATTTTAGCAACACTTTTAATAGATTTTTTTTCTCTCAAACAAATGGGAACTTGTAATTTTTCTGTAAACTGAATACAAGGAATCTTTTCAATTAGCCACATGATTTGCTATACAGACTTTATGATATTATTATTCTGCTTTGACTGACTAACTTGAAATTTCCTCAGAAGGTATGATGTAAAATATATAGCCACACATTACCTCTGAAATGATTTTCTAAACTAGGAATGTGAGTAAATGAGGCATAAAGTTGAGCCTGAATATTAAGAAACAATACTTGTGTTAGATGTCTATGGAAGAGTGAGGAGAGTTGTACCCTTCCAGAGTCACTGCCTGAAGTTTCTTGAGAAAAAACTCTCTACTGTGGGTGAGTTTACCTATACCCAAGAGCTATGCTGGAGAAAGCTAGGGTAAGAATATTAAGGAAAAGAGTTGTCCTAAAATAAGACTCTATGCAGATGTTCTCAGTTGAACCTGAGATTGTGGAGTTACTCCAGATGGATTCTCCACATGACATTCATCGTCTACCTTTTTCACATCCAGCTATCTCTGTGCGTTGCTCTTTCAGAATTACAAATTAAAAGCTTTGCACAAAGATGGACTATTTCTATACTGCTCTCACTGTAGCATTTGAGCATCTTGTCCGTATGGTATCAATAATGAAGATACTATATATTTTTTGCCATATTTTTGCACTCTTCCAGCAGGTAGGAAAAAAGTGCCATGACTGTGTAGGAACAAGCATGGTGACTTAAGTTTACGTGCTATTTCCAGTCTGTGGCATTTACCTTTTTCTCTCCCTTAGAGATGGTGGTGATTCCATCAAAATGATCTCCAAGAGAATTGGGAACATGCACATAGCGAATTCCCTGTGGCTCGACAATGCGGACATCCACCTAAAGGCAAGAAGGGAAGACAATTTCGTCTGCAGCAGTGCCAGCGTTGTATTAGGATCTTACGAACCCTCCACAAGCAAACTCCAGCTGGGAGGTGGGTTGTCCTTGAGAATGTTCCAGTCTCATCCGTGGTGGGGATCTGTGCAACGCTGAAAATGGAGCACAATGGAAAGGCAAAAAATCCCCAAAGGTATCCAAAGAATAGAGAGAATTTGGTGGAAATGTTCATTCCTCCTCTCTCGTTCACCCCTCTAGGGTAAGTGGTGGGATAGGAGTCAAGGATGGTACCATTGTTTATGCTGAAAATATTAAAGAAGAATTAAGTGACTGTCTCAGTGCTGCTTTGAGTTAGGAGGGCAGGAGCAACACTTGGTGATGAAGTCTCTCCCTCTCTACATAGGCTGTTGACAGGACAGATAGTATTTTTGCTTTTTTTGGGGTGACTGAGATGATTTTGAAAACAAAGATTTTACCCTGTCAGCCTGAGATAAGGCCTTTTTCTGGTTGTATTTCGAAATAGTAAGACTCCTAGGAGGCAGGACATGGCGTCCTTTTCAATAGGTCTAACTCAGGCCTTTGGACAGCTTGAAACAGATCATGGCCTGCACCAAGGAAATGCAAGCAGCAAAATTTCATATATAGCTTGTGCTGAAGCCATTGAAAGCTGAAGAAAACATTTATGAAAGAGGAACTTAAGAATGGCCAGATGGAAGTGTTCAGCTAGCCCTGCATCTTGCTTCTGCTGATGGATGTCAGAGAACACCTCTGGATGAGTGTAAGAAAGAGAGTAGGAATAAGACAAATCATCTTTCGGCAGACAGTTGTGGAGGGACTCTCATTCAGAGAATATCTGCTCTCATAAGACACTGTCTCATGAAATTGGGATTATCATGACAAGCGCTGTGCCAGACAAATAGCAATTAGTGCTTATTTTCCTTCAGTCAAGGCAAGTTTACACAAGGTTATATATAGCCCAAACTTATTTGTCCAGGCAGTTCTAATGTGAATCAGTCACGATTCAGGAGATGCCCAGCTGTGTTAGCATGAAAGGAGGCAGAACACATTTGCTCCTCATTCATGTAGCTCCCTACCTTCTTGTTTGAAGTGTTTCGTGATGATCTACACAGTGGCCTTGACACTATTTGCACCAAGCCCATATGAAAGGAAGGAGCTGTAGATGAAATGTTCTTGGCTGCTTTCTCAGTGAGAATTCACCCGCGGGGCACTGCCTACATACACCAGCTCTGCTTTACCTCCATGTGCTTTGCTAAGCGTCCTGGCTTCACAGAGACGACGTGCTCGTAGGAGCTCAGTTTCCTTCGAATCATTTCATGGTAGTGAAGTTCAAACTGGATCCTCATTCCTGGGGGCACATTCACTTCGGTTTTGAAGTTTTCCATATCCAAGGCGTTACTCCTGAAAAGTCATCTGTGGGGTTATTTTGAGAACATAACACAGAGGAAAAGAGCTTCTTTGCATTTTGGTTTAGGGTTATGCATTTGCTGGGTCTGATTCTAACTGGCCGGTATCAGGGAACTGCAGATGTGCATTAGCACAGTATGTTTTATCAAGCTGAAAGCTGAAACATAAGTTAAATCCTTGTCAATTAAATATCAGAGTTACTGTAAGTAAAATGGTTGCTACCCATTTTCCTTCCCAGGGTTCACCCTTCATCTATCTCCTCCTGGGATGGGTCACCTCAGTTCTGCTATGAATAAGTTCAGCACAACACCCATATGCCAAAGTCTTTATACCTTACAATTCCAGCAGCCTTGCCTCTGGCTTTTGCTTGAGCGTACATTTTTCTGGCTTCAGACTTTTCATGAATTCGGCTGGTAAATGTTATACCATTGATATCCCTAGGAGAAAGAAGCACAGTCAGTTTGCAAAAGAAACAACTTTACAATCAGCGACTGTTTCTTCACTTTAGAAAAAAAGACATCAGTGAAATCTAAGCTGGTGGGAAATAAAATAATAAGTCTTTTGTTTAACCCCAAAGTCTGGCTTCCACTAGATCTCTATCTTTTTCCCTACCTGCTCTTTGTATTTCAAGTAGCCAGCAGTCTTGTACTCTGAGGAGGATCTGCTCTCCCCCGCCTCCTTCATGCTTTCCCCATTCCTTGGGCAGGGCAGGCAGTTACAGGTGTCATGGATCAGGACATATCTCCTGAGCAGCAAGCTGGCTGCTGCCTCTCCGAATGGATAGTGAACCAGACTTGTTTCTTTCTGTTCAGTGAGAGATTTAAATTGGGTCTCTGTCTCCTTTGATCTCGTGCTAACTTGCACAGGACAAGCAGGAGCTTAGTCTATTTGAGATTTCTGTCCTTCTGTCAAATTTTGTTGATGTTGGCCAATGGCCCAATATGATTGGAGAGGAAGAGGGGGACAGACAGTATGATGGCATGAGCCTTTTTTCTTTGAGAAAGCCTGCTAAAATTACACTGAACCTGGAAAATAATAATAAGTGTTTTGCTTTTACACATACTTCCCTCTCACCTCATTCTGCCACCACACTGAACCCTGCCAGAGCACAAGGCTGATACCTTCCCACTACTTACATAGTAAAGTTGTCAATAAAAGCTCCTTTGGGGACTTGTACATCAAACACTATGTTCTGGGTCCGTTTTGCATTATTCACCATTTTGGCTTGGATCATTGTGTTGGCCAACCGTGAGGTAATAGTGGATTGAACTTTGTAGCTGTAGAGACCTATCTTGTCATCATCGTCCACCTGCAATTGTCAAAATTACTTTATAAACTTACGACAGAACTTTAAAAAGTGCCCTAGAGGGAAATATCAAGCCCTTTTGTAGTCTCAGTGCCTTTTTTTCAACAATATGGTAGCTAGATGGGGCAAGAACTCATGTTCAGGACACCTCCATATTTTACCTGGCAGTTGTGGCAGGATGCTCATGTGAATATAGTTCATTATAATATTTCAGCTGAAAGGGACAATTTATTATGCTGGAATTGCATTGACCATGCAATCAGTCGTTGGAATGATTTTATTGGTACAATCCAGTATAGGAGGGTACACAGAAATCCCCAGCATCACATCCTGAGGAGGAGAGAGCTTACATCTTGAATAAAAGCCCTAAATGAAGGAGACCTGAAGCACTGGTTATAAACCTAGTCTTGTAAACGGTTAAACCATGGCAGTAGAATCATAGAATCATAGAAGAACAATATTAAACTAGTATATTAAGATATTGTCTTTTCCTAATTACTTTTGATGCTTATTTCTTCATATTTACCATAGTCTTCTCCCTCTGAGAGCAGTTGTACAAACAGCATTGTGCAAACAGTGCTCTGTTTAAAGAAAATAGGTTAATACCCAACCGGCAGTAAAAACAAGGAACTGAACAAACAAAAAGATTGATTTCAAAAAAAGAAAAAAGGTTAACTAGAAAATCGCTTTGTTCAGTATTATTTTCCACAGAGGAAGAAAAAAACTCACCAGATCTCCAACGTACCCCCAGTCGGATGTGCTTCGCTGGAAGAGAAAAATACGGAGAACATGTTTCAGCAAAGTTGGGGACACAGGTTGTGACTGTTTCAGGACAGGGACCAGGCAGTGGCAACACCTAAAAGCTGCTTTCCAAGATGACGAGAATTGGTTTGAGTTCTCAGACTCAGTGTGTGTCTATTCCTTTTGTATTATTCTATGTATTTATACAACATGCTACGTGGGATACTGGACCACATGATTTCCAAGCCATGACTCAGAATCTATCAAAACCAAGATGACAGCTCTCATCCTCTGGGGTTTTTTTTAATAGAAAACATTCTTTTCTAGAACAAAAGTATTCTTCCTGCAAGAAAACCTTGCTGGCAAAAAGTCATGCACCTTAAATGTGACAGAAAATTTATTGTGGTTTTTGGTTGTTTGTTTGAGGTTTTTTGGGTGGGTTTTTTTGGTTTTATTTTTTTCAGGAAAGGTGGAAAAACTTCAAAACCTAGATCTTTTTAGTTAATTTTCATCTACATTACAGAATATATATTTATCTTATTGAATTATATTTAATATGTATGTATAAAACACCTATTGTGTAACCACTCTTACATTTCTCTATTGCATATATGTAAACTTAGTTATGTATACACCTCTTAGAAGAGCTGAAACTGCTCATTAACGGTTGGGTTTTTTGCCCTGCCCTATGAATTGGAAAATGCTATGAAGAGCTGGTGACATCTTGTGGCCGTTTGAATCATTCTGTTTAACTCCCTCAAAGTTAAACTCGCGTTTAAGTATTCCTGGGATGAGATTTTTTGCCCGCCTAGTTCTAGGGGGAGGTGCAATTGCTTAATGCAGGTACCTACTCTGGTGTTATCATCACGACTAGGCAAGCTCAGGTCTTCACAGCCAATGGAGGGATCCCTTTCATCTGAAAGCAGAGATCCCTGTTTGGATTGACGAGTCCTGCCCTAAGACGTGCTAATGGTAATGGCTGGAGGGGTGGGCACCCACTTCCACTGGCAGTGCCCAAGGGTACCACCCTGGCCTGCAGCTGGAGCTCCAGGAGGTCATGAGGACCCTGTAGGTTTTGTGCGTCTGACACCCAGTAAGAGGTCTGGGACACTGTTGGATCTGTACGTGTCGGCAACTAACTGAGCCGTTAAACTCCACTGATAAGCATAGAATCATAGAGTGGTTTGGGTTGGAAAGGACCTTAAAGATCATCTAGTTCCAACTCCCCTGCCATGGGCAGGGACACCTCCCATCAGACCAGGTTGCTCAAACCTCCGTCCAACCTGGCCTTGAGCAGTTCCAGGGATGGGGCTTCCACAGCTTCTCTGGGCAACCTGTGCTAGTGCCTCACCACCTTCAAGGAGAAGAATTTCTTCCTGATATCTAACCTAAACCTACTCTCTCTCAGTTTGAAACCATTACCCCTTATCCTATCACCACGCTCTCTGACAGAGACCCTCCCCTTTTTTCCTGTAGGCTCCCTTTGAGTGTCGGAAGGCAGCTATAAAGTGCCTCCAGAGCCTTCTCTTCTCCAGGCTGGACAAACCCAACTCTCTCAGCCTGCCCTCATAGAGGAGGTGCTCCAGCCCCCTGAACATCTTTGTGGGAGACTAATTTAGGTACTGATGGCTAAATTATAAAAATGTACCAATACATACTGTTCTCAGGTTTCAGTAGCACTTGAATCCAAGAGGACCAAAAACCACAGAAGATATTTAGGAAAATTGCATTAGTCGCACAATCTGTATAAAGCTTGCTATACATTTACTAAATTAATTTGAAGCTAATTAATATATTGCTACCAGGAAAATCTTGGGCTACATAAGAGATGGCACATGTCGTAGCAAGATCATTTTAATGAGATGGTTTTAAGGATCATTTAACTCCAGATAGACAGACTACAGGACTTCTGCCTGCCTGAGAACGAAAGCAGGATTTTATTTATGAGCTATACAGGCTCCACCTGAAACATTCAGGCTAGCAATTCAGAATCAGGTCTCTAGAGACCCTTTGCAAAGCCTGAGGGACTGATCCTTGCTCAGTCCATCCTGACACTCCACAAACATCACTCTACAGTGAACTGGACCCTTTACACCTGATAAAGAACCAGACTGAAGAATGACTGTTGTCCCCACACATACCCTTAGCGTAGGAAACATCACCAGCACGAAGACAAATAAAAACTAAATCAGCCTTAACTGAAACAAATGTAATTTGAAAAGATGAAGGCCAAGATCTTAGCACAGAGGGGACTTGTTTTATTGCGATACTTTTGTGGTTCTCAGAAGAGCTTAGGGACACCATTCACTTTACGAATGGCATTTAAAGCCCTCAGGGTGCTCAGATTTCCTTCCTGTTGAGTTCTGAGATGATACTTTTGTGGTTCTCAGGAGAGCTTAGGGACACCATTCACTTTACAAATGGCATTTAAAGCCCTCAGGATGCTCAGATTTCCTTCCTGTTGAGTTCTGAGACAGTGGTGGAGAAGGGGAAGGTGCTGATGGAGATATGAGTTTATTGCTTGCACGTGTAGCGACTCCCACTGCTGTCGTTAGAGACTAGACATGGAGTGGGCCAACCATTTGCCCCGAATCTCGAAGGTTGGCAGAGGGCAGCCACTCCAATATGTCAGGAAGACAGAACTGTAGATATTGGTACTTCAAATCTGAGTGTCAGTGTGAGTACTGAGGATGTGGGCTTTGTAGGGACTTCTGTGGCACATGAGACTCATGCTCTTTCTGGCATGAGGGTTCATGGCTGATCCTTGCCTGTAAACCACATCCAGATCTGCTCATGACTGCGCTGTGTAGAAACAGAATCTTGTGCAATATCTAATATGCGGCAAATTGTTAATTAGGGTGGATTCAACAAGTGCCTCAGGAACCATTTTAAGGATCTGGTCTTGATAGATGCTGGGCCCTATCTTTAGGAACTGAGACTCGCCTTTGCCTGGTGTTTGTGCAGGCTGTGGATATTTAATCCTCCATAACAATCTTTGCTCAAATCACCTGCATGAATGTTGCAGCTACTATGCAGTCTACTATCAAGAAAATATTGGCTACTTCAAGCTAACTTTTACCCGGGGCTGCTGGACCTCACTCCTCTTCTCCATGGAGAAGGAGTCATAATGTCTAAGGGAGAAACAGATTGCAAGAAGGAGCACATTACAAGAAATTGCAGTTTTTATGTCATATATGGGTTGCCTGGCTTACCATTGCTTTCAAGTTGCAGTCTATGTGCTACTTCTGAGGTGCGACTTAGTGAAACAAGGAAAGCAGATTCAGAGATGTTACACTGCATTCAAAGGAAATTGCTTTTTTACTGGGGCATGGAAAATGTTGAAAAGCAGATGCCCAGCATGAGAAACTAGAAAGAACATGAGATCTACCTGACATGCCCTTCCAGTTCTTTCAAGTGCTGTTTCCTCATAGATTCACTAGTTTTCATAAGCAGTTTTTAACACACTGCAATGTCATCAAAGCCTCTCCAGATGCCTCTGGGGGATCATGATCCTTACCACGAGGTGCAAGAAGAGCAATTTTAAACCTAACGCTTGGCAAAGTTTTTCTTCACAGTGCTGAGGATGGATCCCAGTCTCCCTGGTTGCATTTATGCCCTGGAAGCCGGGAGGTTTTCCAGCCAGCGTGATTCCACCCTCTCTCTCCTTTCATATTTCTTTCCTGTACTGGTTGTTGTGGAGAGGAAACCAGGTAGGAAGAGCAGTAAGGAAATAGGTGTGGCCACACCTGGCTCTGGACAGACAGATATCAGGATCAAGACTGGATGGGGGATATGCTACAGAAGATCCTGCCTCAGTCTAGACACAAGCTCCGTTATCTATCTCCAAAACAGAGATAACAGCAGTGCACTGTTGTATAGAGGTTCACAAGGCTACCTGCATTCCAGCCCATGGGGCACTCTGTTTCTGCAGTCACAAGGACCATTCAGAAACCTGAGAGTATTATTTTTGGAGTTACTCAGGAGCAAATACTTTCCACCAAAATACCTGGTTTGTATCTAAAACCCAACTCTTCCTATTCGGAGCTTATCAGCAGGGTCTCCCAAGAAGTCCTGTTGTCTTGTTGCCAGTAGGCTAGTGATCTCACTGTAGAAAAACATGGTGCTGAACCAATAATTTGGAAGACAACCTTCCTCTGGTGATCCACAATAAGTAATTGTGTGCCTGCTCTTGGCCAAGAGCTACCATCTCAAGATACTTCAGGTAATTCAGTTTCATCTCATTTACTAATATTTTATTGTGACTCAACTAACGTAAGGGTAACTCATCCTATAGCTGAGGCCTTTGCTCCTCTAGTTTGCAAAGACTCATTTGATAGATAAAGGATGGGAGAATAATATAGAGGAATATAAGGATTAACTGGTATAATAAAACCTCTAACAAAATTGCAAATTACTGCATCCATGTATCTATACCACTACATATCTTGAAAGCTGGGGAACCAAGGCAACATAATACAGACATGTTGGAAAGAAATGATGCCCTGGAAAAGTGCAGCTAGAGAGAATTTCTGCTTAGATTATCATTAATAATTTAAATACTGGTCTCGTGAATGTAAGCTAGCTTGATTCATACTTATGCTGAAATCTTCCATTTTTTCTGGCAGTGTAACAGCTGATTTAGGTGTCAATAAGCTACATCTACATTTTGCATGAGGCTCTGTTCAAAAAACTTTAGGATAAAGAAGAATCACGGTTGCCCACGCTTAACTTCAAAGATTACGGGAAATCCAACTTTATTCAAGAGGATCTTTCGTTTCACTGTATTGAACAAGCTCAAGAAAGGCAGCACCAGAGCTTAGTGGAGGACAAGGTCTGCTCTGATCATCAATTCTTTCGTGCAGTGTAATAAAAGTTAATACCCTCAAACAACAGATTTCATGATTGTTATCATTAATTACTACTGTGTAAAATATATGAAAGCTCCTACAATGCTATTTTAAATGTTTCTGTTTCAGAAGCGGACAGACTGTAATCTGAGAACCCTCGGCATGCTGGAAACAAATTTTCTTCCCTGGCCTCAAGCTCCACCACCTCATTACCCGTGTGACACTGTGCTGCAGTCTTCTGACCTGAGTTAAATGTGAATGAATGGACTAGCTGCAGAATTGAAAGGTTTCAGCCTACATTGCCAGTGTCTGAAGTTCTATCCCATTTTCTCATGGGAAAGTGTCACCAGGATCAATGGGATTTCTCCCATGCATGAAGTTAGACAGAAACTGTCTCCATTGTTTAGTATCTCTATTACAGTCCTTAGGAGCGCAGAGATGGAATAAAGCCTTGTTGTGCTATGTACTGCATAAAGGATAGCAGCAGTTCTCATCATGGAGGTTTCAAGGCATTTTAGGACCTGCTGGTCCCACTTGCTTGCACACTCACAACCTTTGACATGGCACAAGCCACCTGGAGAGAGCTCCCAAGCATTCCTTTTTTCGAAACATTCCTGGGTGCTGTACCTGGTACCTGCCGTTTCTCGTCTTGGAGCTTGAAGGAAATCCATCAATTTCTAGGTCTATCAGGTTTTCCACTTCCTAGAGGAGAAAGATGAAGAAAGAAAGAGGTATTGCTGCTGCCTTGCTGTTTGATTCATCGCATGATTTATTATTGATTAGCACTCTAATAGAATTCCAAAGGGAATTCCCCTTGGTGCAAACGGGGAGCAGAGGCACAAACCATCTCAGACTAAGATGCTGCATCTTCACAAATTCAGTTTCCCTCTGTGGCCAGTTAGCTCTGTATACTCCTATAAAATCGTGACCTTTACCACTGTTTTACAACCTTCCCTTCTGAAAAAAGGAATTATATTTAACACACTGAAATGACCATAAAGAACAAGAGGCAGATTACCTCAGAATGGATCTAGTGATGGTAACTACAGCATTTCAAACCCTGATCTCACTTAAACCAGTGATTTCAGAGAATTTCTGCTCAAGCCAGTAGTTGTCATCTCTGGTTTTATGCTAATATACCTGAGAATTAAATTTACTCCACTGACAGAAGAAGAACAGGTCTTTTCCTAGTGCAAAGCTGCACTGATTCGTCTAGAAGTGTTCTTCTTACACCACACTAATACTCTTAATTAAATTTGATTAGTAGTTTAATTTATGATATTGAAGGAGTTTAAGTACATGAGTTGCTCTCCAACTGATAAGGTAGCATACACACAAAGGTTTGCACAAAATGAACTTAAACTGTTTAAGCACATCGATGTTAAACTGATACAGTGTCTATGGTTAGAAAGGGTCACAGGTCCAGGATATTTTTCCTGGGAATATTCCTGGAATATATATTTTTTTTTAATCTTGCAAAGAAGAAGAAAACTTTACACCATCCCTGCTGACTTCACAGAAATATTGCAATACAACAATGTGGAAATAGGTGTAGACTAAAAAAAAAAATCTAAGTTCACCTGAGTCCAGGGGTTTAAATTTGGACTCAGCTATAATTATACTTCTTTCCGTCACTGTATTATGCTAAGAAATTACAGCTCTTCTATGAATTATTTCATCTCTCTACTGAGGAATGTACAGTCAACAGGATTACAACTCCGTATTTGAATTCCTGTTAACAAAAACCTGAGTCCATAGAAAGCTTTGCTGAAATCTGTAATGGTCTATACAGGAGCTCCCATCCACAAAGATATGTAGACCCTCTATCTCTACTTATCCCAGGGAAACATGACATAAAATACACTGAAGGTCTGAGCATAGAGGTCCACTTGAATATTAAAGGATAAAACCACCAGAAAAGGCAAAGTTGAGGTAAAAATATGAATCCCACTCAGAAAGAGACTTGGAGTTAAGCCCATACTCTCCCAACTTTAATAATATTAAAAAAGCAACCGTACAAATGACAGGTGAAAAGCAATTATCAGAACAACCTCACTTACAGATAAAAATAGAAGAGAATTCATGAGATACAAGCAGAGCTAAGAAGCAATGACCCAGTTCTGCTCCCACCAAATCCAGCTGCATCTCCAATACTGCCTTCAGCAAGGAAGGGAGACCTAGGCTCTCGAAATACTCACATCTGGGATGTCGTAGATAACAAGATCAAAGCTTCCCACTCCAGAAATGAGGAACAAAACCAGGAAGCAAATCAGATGCTTCATTTTCTTCCTGCTTGTCTCCTGAGAACGGCCCGCATAGGTACTAGACACGAGATCTTTCCTTCTCTGAGACAAGTTCAAGGAAACAGCTCAGGGTTATGCAGTATTTTGAACAAAGTTTTGAAACGCTGACTTTGTTTAGGCCGTAGGTAAATATTTGCCTTGCAACGCAAGTCTGAGCTGTGGTGCCTGAGCAAGGGTTATCCAAACAGTGTCTTCACTCGCCTCTGCCTTCGATAACAGCTCAGGCTTGGATAGGCTCACTTCTTGCTTTTGTAGCTTTCCCGTGATGTTTGACTAACTTCCTGCTAGGCGCAGACCTTGGAGAACCAAAAACTTCAAAAGATCAAAGCAAGAACTCGCTCCTAGTTTGTTTGTTTATAGTAAATGAGGTGAAGACTGGTTCTCAGAGTGATGGAGGCAGCAATACCATGTTTCTCCAAGGGCCCTCCCACCTGGCCATCTTACGGGGGTTGGTAGAGACCTTTAGGTTGGATGCTGACCCATACAAATATCTTTCCTCCATCCTGACTGGGAAAAAATCATAGCTGGTAGTGGGATAGCTTTAGTTTTTCAAAGTTAGTAATATGAAAACATCTGATAATATTTTCACATGTGTGTTGTATGGCTCCTGGCTGCTTTTGAAACTGTTTTGACCTCCCTGCCTCTTTGGGTACTTTAAGAATCATAGAATGGCTTGGGTTGGAAGGGACCTTAAAGCTCAGCTAGTGCCAACCACTTTAGAATGGGCAGGGACACCTCCCACCAGACCAGGTTGCTCAAAGCCCCGTCCAGCCTGGCCTTGAGCACTTCCAGGGAGGGAGTGTCCATAACCTCTCTGTGCAATCTGTTTTACAGCTTCACTAGCCTCTCCATGAAGAAAGTCTTCCTAATATTTAATCTAAATCTATTCTCTTTTAGTTCAAAGCAATTACTCCTTTCCTTATTACTACAAGTATTCATAAAAAGTCCTTTTCCAGCTTTCTTGTAGTCCTCTACAGGTACTGGAAGGCCTCTATAAGGTTTCCCCGGAGTCTTCTCTTCTCCAGGTTGAATAGCCCTGATTCTCTCAGCCTGTCCTCACAGAGAAGATGTTTCAGCCCCCTGATCATCTTCATGGCCTTCTCTGGACTCACTTCAACAGGTCCATGTCCATGTGTTGGGGGCTCCAGAGCTGGACACAGAACTGCAGGTGGGGTCTCACAGAAGTGGGGTAGAGGGGGAGAATCACCTCCCTTAACCTGCTGGCCACATTTTTTTTTGATGTAGCCCAGGATACGGTTGACTTTCTGGGCTGCACACATTGCTGGGTCATACTGAGAGTCTGGCCAACCAACACCCCCAAGTCTTTATTTGAACTGCTGCTCTCAATCCACTCATTGCCCAGTCTGTATTTGTGCTCGGAATTGCCTCCATCCAGGTGCAGGACCTTGCACTTGGCCTTGTAGAACTTCGTGAGGTTTGCACAGGCCCACTTCTCAAGCCTGTCAAGGTACCTCTGGATGGCATCCCTTCCCTCCAGCGTGTCTACTGCAGCACACAGCTCGGTGTCATCAGCAAACTTACTGAGGGTGCACTCAATCCCACTGTCCACGTCTCTCACAGACGTCAAACAGTGGCAGTCCCAATGAAAGGACCAAACCCTGAGGAACACAACTCATCACTGGTTTTCAATTGGTTGACCACAGCTCTTTGAACGTGACCATCCAGTCAATTCTTTAACCACCGAGTGGTCCATCCATCATGTCACAGAATCACACCGAATCACAGAATCACAGAATGTCAGGGGTTGGAAGGGACCTCAAAAGATCATCTAGTCCAGCCCCCCTGCCAGAGCAGGATCACCCACAGTAGGTCACACAGGAACACATTCAGGCGGATTTTGAACGTCTCCAAGGAAGGAGACTCCACAACCTCCCTGGGCACCCTGTGCCAGGGCTCTGTCACCCTCACAGTGAAAAAGATTTTCTAATATTTTTGTGGAACCTCCTATGTTCCAGCTTGTATCCATTGCCCCTTGTCCTGTCATTGGATGTTGCTGAAAAGAGCCTGGTTCTGTCCTCCTGACACTCACTCTTGACACATTTATAAACATTTATGAGATCACCCCTCAGCCTCCTCTGTCCCTGTCCATGTCCATGTCTCTCCAATTTAGAGACAATGATATCTTGTGGGACAGTGTCAAATGTTTTGCCCAAGTCTGGGTAGATGACACCAGTTGCTTTTCTCTTATCCACCAATGCTGTAACTCCATCATAAAAGTCCACCAAACAGTGAAACCATATTGGCTCTCACCAATCTCCTCCTTGTTTCCCATGTGCCTTAGCATAGTTTCCATAAGGATCTGCTCCTTGCAGAGACCCTCCTGGGCACAGAGATAAGACTGACTGTCATATAGTTCCTCGGGTCTTCTTTTTTTTTCCTTTTTTAAAAATGGGGGTTATGCTTCCCCTTTTCCAATCACTGGGAACTTCAACCTCAATGGAAACTTCAATGGAAAAGATTATATTACTGTGTGAATCCAGGACAAAACAGAAGATAAGATTACTTTACCTTACATCATGTTACATTACCTTACCTTACATTACATTATTAACTACATTATATTCATTATATTGTGTTATCTTACCCTGTGTTATGCTACATTTTGATGTTTCAAAGATTTCTGCAGCACCAGTTTGCTACTGTGCAGATACTCCTCCATCTCTTCAATCGATTGTTTCTCAGGTTGTAACCTGAAACTACATGCAGAGGTTCACAAGGAATAAACACCGAATAGTGACCTTTCAGCTCACTGCCATGTAAGAGCTGCCAAAGGTGCTTAGGAAAGAACATAAGAACTGGAACAAGCACGTAAGGTATTTTCCAAAGACCCTCCTAGTCTCCAGCTACATGTAACTATGTGTTCTGATCGGGAGATGACTTCCATCTGTTCAGTAGACTTTAGATTTCTTTTCCAAAATCCTATCATCTCCTCTGAAAAGTTTGGATTAACAAATCAGTATTCATAGTATCCAGTGAGAAGAAGTTCTACACACTTTGAACCTGTTATAGCTCCACAGATGTTATGCTGGAAGAGTCATTGAATAATTAGCCCTGATTTGCCCTCTCTCACAAACTTTGAGGCAATCCTGGATCTTGAACTTGGAAACAACATTGCTCTAGATTTGCTGGAAAGCTTAGCAGCCTGTAGTCTGCACTCAGACCTGTAGACAGCCGTCACAGCATGTGCATCTTCCTTTCACAGCGGTCCATCCACACAGTGATTCCCCACATCACCTGTTTATTATGTTCTCCCTGAGTTCTGGTTCAGCTCTCAGACAACACACATGAGGACCCTGCAACACTGCTCCTTCTGAAGAGACAGTTTCTGAATGCAGAGGCCACTTGCTGAGCAGTTCTGCATCTCTCAGGCCCAAATGGCATGACGTGGCCAGGCTTCCTCTCCCCTGTGTTACTCCAAATCGCCTTCTGTATTGCAGCTTCCCACAGAAGTGGGAGTAAGTGATGTGCACAGAGGAGGGGAGTGTACATGAGGAGAATGGGGAGGATGGGAGCAGAGTTTTTCAATAATCATGGAATCATAGAATCATTTAGGCTGGAAAATAATGCTAGGATCATTGAGTTCAACCATTAAACTAGCAATGCCAAGCTCACCACCAAACCATGTCCCTAAGTACCATGTTTATATATCTTTTAAATGCCTCCAGGGGTGATGACTCCATCACTTCCCTGGGCAGCCTGTTCCAGTGCTTGACAACTCTCTTCAGTGAAAAATCTTTTCCTAATATCCAATCTAAACCTCCCCTTGAGAAGGTTTAGATTGGATACACAACTTGAGGCCATTTTCTTTTGTCTTGTTGCTTGTCACATAGGAAAAGAGATCAACGCCCACCTTGCTACAATCTCCTTTCAGGTATTTGAAGAGAGCAATAAGGTCCCTCAGCCTCCTTTTCTCCAGGCTAAACAGCCCCAGTTGCTTCAGCCACTCTTCATAAGACTTGTTCTCTAGACCTTTCACCAGCTTCATTGCCTTTCTTTGGAAAAGAGGAGGCTGAGGGGGGATCTCATCATGCTCTACAATTACTGGAAAGGACATTGTAGAGAGGTTGGTGCTGGTCTCTTCTCACAGGTCATTAGGGACAGAACCAGGGGGATGGGTTCAAGTTGCAACAGGGCAAGTTTAGGCTGGACATTAGGAAGAAATTCTTCACAGAAAGAGTGATCAGACACTGGAACAGACTGCCTAGGGAGGTGGTTGAGTCGTCATCCCTGGATGTGTTCAAGTGTCGTTTAGATGTGGTGTTGGGTGATATGGTTTAGGGGTGAACTTGTAGTGCAGAGCTAATGGTTGGACTCGATGATCTTAAGAGTCTTTTCCAACCTGAATTGTTCTATGATTCTATGATTCTATGACACGGTCCAGCACCTCAATATCTTTCTTGGTGTGAATGACCTGAAACTGAACACAGGATTCAAGGTGTGGCTTCTCAAGTGCTGAGTAGAGGGGGATGATTGCTTCCCTGGTTTTGCTGGCCAGGATACAGACCAGGATGCCTTTGGACTTCTTGGACACCTGGGCACCCTGTTGGGTCATATTCGGCCAGTTGTTGGCCAAAATAAGCATAATCAAGGTGGGATTACCCAACTGCACATCTTTGTCTTCCTTTTTGGAAACAAACTTTTTCTGAGCACAGGGTGCCTGACTCTAACTACCTGCTGCACCATAGAATGGGATGAATCTTGCCCTTGCTGGATCTCTTTTGTGCCATGAACAACATATGGAGGCCAATCAGAGAGCTCGGAGGAGAATAGCAGCTCTGGGGACATCTACGCTTTGTGAAATGACTTCTATCTCCTGGAGTGAGCTTCTCTGCACTTATCATCATTGTAGGCTTTTTGAGTAGAGGAAGGTCTCAGCATTAAGACTCCAGAGATGCTACTTCAAATAGGAGTTTGGCTTGCAGCTCTGTGGTACGTAAACCATCTGGGCTGGCTTTAAATCACGTAGTGATGGGACTGACAATGTAACCATATACCTTGGCCTCAGT